CCGAAGGGCTTTAAGCCATTTCTGCTCCATGTGAAATTTTCTAAAAAGCCCAATAAAACTAACAGGACTTTGTTTCTTTCTAAAGGTGATGAGAAAGCGTGTTTTATGGCTGAATAGCTGTAATTATTAGAGACATTGCAAAAAGCTGATTCAGCACCTGCCCAGAACAGAGCCAGGCAATGCCAACAATATGCCTGAATTCCTCTTTACACATTAAGCTATTTCCATCTCATAACCTCCCTGCTTTATATGGCTCACAGAGGTCAGCTCATTGCACCTCAGTAGCACAAGCAGCCCAGGAACTCCGGTCCTCTACTTCAGACTTACAGAACCGTCTCCTGAGCGTACACAAAATCTCAACTCTCAGGTCCCAGTCCTTTCAGGATGGCTGTTCAATATTCTCTTCCCAGCCAACCTTTCCTTCCCAAGACAGGTTACAGCCATCAGGGCTGTTCAGCTTAAACGGTCCCCCTTCATTGGTACATAACTGTCATTTTACAGAGGGATTCCAGGGTAAAACACAATCATTATTGCCATGACTTAAATAATGAAAACTGATACTGCTATCATAATACATTTGTATCACTGTGACCACAAGTTGGCTCCGTCATACAAAAACAAAAAACAAAAAACAAAAAAGAGAGAGATTGAGAAAGAAAAACAGAAAGTTCCACAGTAACTATTAATTCAGATGACTCTTTTCCTATATTGGTACAAAAGAATTATTCTACCCAAAACTTAAGATTATCACATTTCATGTTTTTGAAATCTTGTGTTACATTTTATTCAGAAGGTAGAAATCTTTTTGAATTTCAATGTTAATTGATCAACTGGGTTCCCCTATTTTCTACGACATATAAATCAGACAACTTTGCCTATCTTAATTTTGTTTCAAGAAGTTAATAATAGCTAACATTTACTGTCACTTGTTATGTGCCACATACTATACAAAGCAATATACCTGTATTATCTCATTTGTTCCCTTTAATGTACTGTGAGAAAGACACCACTATTAGGTCACTTTGTGGAAGACAAAAAGGCTCAGAGAAGTTAGGAGCCTTTGAACTAAAGTCATTCATCTCATGAGCTCTTCTGCCTACAACCATCACTCAGGGCAGAATCCACTTTCGTGCCTCTGCTAAACGTTCTCCTGAAATCTATGTGGTGTTAGGTTAGAAAACTTCCCTACTGTGCCGGGAAGGTTACCCTGCTTGAAAAAGGCAGGAAGGTGGGGAACAGGAGAGAGGAACTAAGCTGATCAGGAACAAAAATATCAAGCAGGTTCATAAGTGAGACAGCATCCCCCAGAAAAGTTCAGTGCTCTTCAACTTGTATACGGACAGTAATCGCCTTAACCAAACTATGCCTCTATCTAGTTTAAATAAACTTAAACCAGGAAGATTACCAATAGGATCAGAATACTTGAAATACAAAGTCAACGGGGATACTCTGAACAAATTCTCAAAAAACGTCAGTACTAGTTTCAAGCTCTCTAATCAAAACTTTATTATAATGCTTAAGATTTCAAGAATTGTCACCTCATTACTTACCTAACCCTTAAACGCTGGTCTAAATGAGAAGGGGTTTGTTCTGATAACATTTCTTTAGATAGGAGCAAAAAGGTCACAGTCACAAAATGTGGGAACAAGTGAACTATATGTCTGTCGGGGAACAATTGCTATGCTTACTATTTTTTGGAAAGTAAAAAATTTAATTTCACGAAAATAAAGGCAAATCAATCCGATAAAGTTTAAATCACTGACAAACCTAGAAATTTACTACATATACTGTAATAATTTTCTAGACAGATTTAGCCTATCATTTGCCCCTCTACATAATACAGATGTTGGAAAATGTATCTCAGATTTCATAAATTTTATTTTTTTCTCTAATGATATTTTAAGATGTTCTACTTTCCACTTAAATAATTTAATCAGCTGTCAGTTTAAATAGTCAAATAATCAACCGAGATTGTTTTTCTTTCTTTAAAAGCCTTTTTATCAAAAAAAAATAACAATCTATAAACACTTAAATCTACTAGAAACCTTTCAGAGAACTCTGTTGAATGAAGTAAACTACATCCATTTCTATAATGGGACGGATCATTCACTAATGGATCTGCTTTCAGATAACATAATTATCATGAACTACAAAGCAAGATATAAAAAAATTTTGGTATCAACATGTGACTGGTTCTGAAATCTCTCCAGAGCACAGTGCAAACACTGTAGCAGTAATCATAATGAGAGTTCCAACCAACAGCCTTCCACATACAGTCACCCAGCCTCTGCGACTGAGCAGAACCATGACACAAGGTGTAGGTAGGACCAAAAATCTGAAGTCACCTCAGGCTCCTTTTTCACATCCTCCACATTGAACTAGTCATGAATATCTACCAACTCTGCCTGCCAGCACCAACTATGATCTTTCCAATTACAGGTGCCTTATTTCAGTCTTTACAGTTTTACTTCCTTAGTTATTTCTTCTTTCTAATATCTCTACCTTGCATGCTTCTTGCATTACAAGATACCACGACATATCTGTTCCAATGTAAGAAGACTGCCCAGATCGAATGTTGGTGAGAATGTGGACCAATCAGAGCTCCCTAAGAGGCTTCTGAATTTTCAGATGACAATGTTACTTACAAAGAATATTTACCCAAAAACTCGAGCCATACTTGATTTAATCTTATCATGATGGCTCACTTAGACATTTATGTAAACTACAGAAATATTTATCAAGAGAAATATTTTTTGTAACAGATATAAAAAATCAAGCTTTTAATTTATGGAAGCGTATACTTGTTTCTCATACTTAAGTATTCTATTATATAACCTGCTTTCTCTAATTCAGTGATTTGTGAAGTGTGAGCAAAGGACCACCATTATAAGTAGCATCAGTAACACCTGGGAATTTCTTGAGAAATACAAATTCTTGGAGCCAGCATTGTAATATACAATGGGTCAAGCCACAGCCTTGTGACTCTGGAACCCCATATGGCACCTGTCTGTGTCCTGGCTGCTCTACTTCAGATCCAGTTCCCTGCAAATAGTCTGGAAAAGACAGCCAAAGGTGATCCAAGTGCTTGGGCCCCACCACTCAGCTCTGGAAGGATCCAGACAGAGCCCCCGGCTTCAGCCCAGCTCACTCCTGCCACTGTGGCCACTTGGCGGCTGAACTATCAGATGGAAAATCTCTTCATCTCTCACTCACTCTATATCTCTTTCAAATAAATAAATGCAGATTTTTTTAATATCAATTTTCATGTTGTAAGCAGAAGGCTGAAACTGACAGGTGAAACCCAGTAATTAAAAAAAATTCTTTTTTCCCTTTCTTAAAAGACTTATTTGTTTGTTTGGAAGGCAGAATTACAAAGAAAAAGGAGAGGCAAAGATGTTTCACACACCAACTCACTCCCAATATGACCAACAGTGGCCAAGGCTAGCACAGGCCAAAGGCAGGAGCCTAGAAGTCCATCTGGGTCTCCGACGTGAACAGAAGGGACCCAAGTACTCAGGCCTTCTGCTGCTGCTTTCCTGAGCACATGAGAAGGAACTAAGTTGAAAGCAGAAAAGCCAGCATCTGTACCCATATGAGATGCTGGCGTTGCAGGCAGTAGCTTTACCCACTGTACTACAATGACGTCCCACCAGTCCATATTTTTCAGAAGCCCTCCAGCAGATTCAGATGCATAATAAAATCTGACATCCACTATTCTAAAGTTTAATTTAAAGTGAAAACCACAAATTGCCTTTTTCTCCGCAACAATGACTTCAACAAATTCAATTAGCTGTCTCTTCATTTTTATACCCCCAAAATTATTTTAGACCCTGATTAGGCTAAAGATCCCATTAATAAATAATTCCACAATATAAGAGTCCATAAATAAGGCATTATGGTGGAGAAATTCCAAACTCTATGGAATTGTACCATAAAATCCAAAATTTTAAAAAAATAATAAAATAAAAAATAAGGCATTACACAATAACACTAGTTGTAAAACAGACTTTCCCACCTAAATATCCTAGTCATTTACTTATATCTACTTTTGCAACTTCATCCAATATTCTTTGCAAACATACCAAATTTTGAGCTAATTGTAGCTACATACTGTCATCCTTCAGTGAACATCTGTGTAACTTTTAATTAGGTTCTTGTAAGTGAAATGAATTTTAAAAACCTGACTAATTGAATATTTTAACTGTTTCATAAAGGTTCTGAAGCAGAATGAAAGCAGAAATGATATCGGAGTGAATCAAGACATCCGGGACCGTCAGTAATTTGCTCTGAGACTTTGAGCTGTTAACTTCTGGGTTCCACTTCCCTCTTTTTTTTTTTTTTTGGTTTCAAAAATATTTTTAATTTATTGAGACTTGCTTTATACTCCCACATGCAGTTTATTGTGACTGTGTTGGAATCTCCCTTTAATTCCAATAATATTTATTTTAGATAGGCAGACACCCTGGTATTGAGTGCATACACATATATTACAATCACACAGCCTACTTAATCATTACATAACATTCTTGTAACAGTTTTCCTGCTAAGGTTTCTATTGTCTGACTTTAGAATGGCTACTTCTGCTTGTTTTTGTTTTCTATTAGCGTAGAATACCTTTTTCTATCTTTTTACTTCCAGTCTGTGTGTTGGTTAGGTGTGGTTCCTGTAGGCAGCAAGTGGAATGTTTTTAGTCCACTAAGCCAGTCTGCATTTTTAATTTGAGAATTTAGGCCATTTATAAAGTTATTGATCTGTAACATTTACATTCCATATTATGGATGTTATTGATCCTGCTATGTTCCTGTTGCTTGGATTTCCTTTCCACCTTCACATTCTTCCATTCTGATGACTGTCTCTGTTTCTGTGTATAGCAGATCCTTAAGTCTCATCTGTAATGGTGAAGGAATAGTAGCGAGTTCTTTCTATTTCTGTTTGTTTTGGAAGGTTTTTATTTCTCCTTCAATGATAAGTAAGGGTTTTGCTGGTTATGGAATTGTGGGTTGACAGGTTTTTGTTGTTTGTTTGTTTGTTTTTTGAAGAAGAGCAGTTTCATTCTTTCATATTCACATAATCTGATCACATACATGATTTGCCCCACTCAGTAATCTTCAGTAGTTGCTACAGTTTGAATGCATGTAGACTGTTCCAGTGGAAACTTCGTTGCCAATGTAGTCTTATTAGTTCTTTTTAGAGAGGGGGGTAAGACTATTATTTTTTCCATATTGTTTCCCCCAATTTTAAGAGGGAGTTGAAGAACATACAGTAAAGTCTTTTATAGGCCTACAGGTCTATAAGGCTGTCATGTGACTTCTCACACTTGATGGCACTGTACTTTTAGATTCATGTGACACTGTCAAACTTTAAATATTTAATCTATTTTTAACAATTTAAAAATCACTTCAAGATTCAGTCCAAGAGGAGTTGAGAAACATGGCTGTCACACAAAAGAACATGATCACATGTGTATTTTTAGTTGCCAAAGCACCATATGGAGGTGGGATTTTAAGTTTTTTCCTCTTTACTGGATTAGTTAACTTATCTACAATAAACTACGAGAACACATGACATGAATCCCTGACACAAAGCTTTCATTATGTCAGTAACTTGGACATTGAAAACAGACTTTCTGGGTTAATTCTATCTCCTACTCCACAGATTCAAGATGGCTGAATAGGGAAAAAGACGTGTTCTTTTGACCACAGGAAGATAGCAAAAGAAAAACAGAGGAATCACATTCCCAGCAGACAGCTGGAGAGAGGCCTACAATGGAAATGTCTATGCAAAGAGAAACTCCATGGAAATTGGCAATGGTACAATCACGCAGCAGCTAGTGGGATACCGCCAGTGACTCTCAGCCAGTGCTGGGGAGGGGATACCCTCTCAGAGCAGGCAAGAACCTGTAGCAGCCCACAAGCCATGGGTAACACGAGGAGCGAGAGCACTGACTTTAAGTCAGACCTGAAGCACCGGCAGGGGCAGGATGCACCTAATCCCGTGGAAATAGAGCTCCTTGCTTTCTTCCCCTGTCCTACCAAGGCAGCTGGCAATCAGCAGGCAGAAGCACCTGTTAATATGCACGGAGTGGCTTCTGTGGCCTGTGCACCACCAGCGGGCTTTGCACGAGGGATAGATCTGCAGGCCCCACTGACCTTGACTCTACCCTGCAAAGTTGACAGGAAACAGTGTGACCACGAAAACCCATGAAGAGAGGGCACACTGCTCCCTTCCTCTCAGCCCACCAAGGATCAGACTCAGCTTGCCAAGGAAGAGTACCACAGACCTCTGTCGGCCAGACAGCAGACCCTGGAAATAGAGCAGCTTTGTTCCTGGCTTGGGAGGCTCCCAGTGTTGAAAGCGGAGCCCTGCCTTCTGTGAGGGAGCCTGTGCCCTATGACTGTGAACCTGTGACTGTGCAGTCATGGAGGGGGAAGAAAGGGCATGTCACTTTGGGCAATCACTGGTTCCAGCTCCAGAGGCTCAGAGTTACCCGAGTTCTAGGGAGGCTCACTGAAGGGCCATGTTCAAACTGAGAAGCATGTAGCTCCAGCAGCGGCTCCGGTACCTGACTGGGTGGGGTGCACAGGCACTGTGCATTCAATCCTGGCAGATGGTTCACCTTGGCAGAGATGTTCCTCTCTCTGTAAACACACCAGCTAATGCAAAAATATCCTCCCCTGTAAGGAAGACACAGGATCTACCACTCTCAACTTGGGTGTGGTTCTTAGATTTTGCCCCCACCCTCAAGCACTGGTCAAAGCTCCTGGCCCCACCCAGCACACCCGCTGATTTGTGCTGAAGGAGCAGACACTCCACTAAGCCACAGAGCCACATCTCAAAGAATGAAACCATCAGAGGAGAAAACCCCAAATATATGTAGATACAAGAAACATGAACAAGGAGGAAAATATGACTCCCCAAGAGAAACAATACTCAATGTGAGAATTCAAATAAATCTAAAGAAAAAAAAAAAAACATTGCTCAGAATCACAGAGAGGCAAATACAGGATTGAAAAAAAAATTGATATATGACATAGATGAGAAGTTCTTCCAGGATATAGAGACACTAAAGGCAAATCAAATGGAAATATTAGCAATGAAAGATCAAATGTGTCAAATAAAAAAATACAGTTGTTAATCTGGAGGACCCGGGGACAGGCAGAAAGCCCGTAGGTGGCGCCAAAAGTTCCCGCCAAGAATAATCACCCCAAACTCATTTAACTGGAGCTGACCAATCAGAAGACAACAGCAAGCCCCCATCATCCCCACTAAAGGGATGTGAGGCCTAGTGCACACATAACTTCACCAGCCTGCGGACCTTAGCTACCACGTGGACCGATGAACCTCGCCCAGGAGCAGATTTCAATAAACCTGGTTTTACCATCATTCTGGTCTCGTTAGTCCTGCTGTTTCAGTGTGGTTTTGTATCTAACAATAGTCAGTAGCCTAAACAACATATTCCATGAAGCAGAGGAAAGAATATCCTAACTATAAGATATACTCTAGAAATATCTCAGTCAGAAAAAAGAAACTAGAAAAACAAAAGACAGTGCTTACAATTTATGGGATACCATCAAATCATCAACCACATGTCTTAAGAAAACAGGGAAAGAATAAGTTAGAAGACCTATTCAGTGAAATAACAGCAGACTATGTCCTTAATTTGGAGAAACACACGCACATCCAACTCCTAAAAGCACACAGACTCCTAACAGACCAGATCAGAAGAGATCCTCACCATAACACTACGTGACACTCTCAAAAGTTAAAGAAAAGGTCCCAACACGTGCAACAGAGATCCATCAAATCACCTTCAAAGGCTCCCCAACTGTATTGATAACTGATTTCTCATCAGAAACCCTACAGGCATGGAGAGAATGCAGAGTCCTGAAAGATAAAAACATCAACCCAGAATAGTATACACAGTGAAGTTCCCACTTACAAATGAAAGTGAAATAAAGACTTTCTAAAACAAACAAAAATGGAAAGAATGTATCACCATTCATCCAGCCTTACAAACAATAATTAAGGAAGGTCAAGGTCATGCTACACACAGGAACATAGAAAGATAGTTACCATCAAGAAAAAGGGTAAAGGTGGAAAGCCTCCTAGCAAAAGCATAAAGGAAATCCTGAAGAAACAATAGAAATCTTATGGGGAAGGAAGGAAGGGAAGGAGGGAAGGAGGGAAGGAGGGAAGGAAGGAAGGAAGGAAGGAAGGAAGGAAGGAAGGAAGGAAGGAAGGAAGGAAGGAAGAAACGAAGGGAGGGAGGGAGGGAGGGACCGGGGAGGGAGGGAGCAGGGAGGGAGAGAGGAGGGGAGGGGGGAGGATAGGGTGAAAAGTATTATATTGTTAAAACTGTATATATGAAATAAAATCATTTCATAATCTTGGAGTGTTATTAATCCTTATAAAATTTAATCTTTATCCATCTCTGTTAAAATAGGAAAACAACAGTATTTTCTTCATACAAACTAAATGAACTCATTGATAGACTGCTTAGCACAGAGCCCAGTACTGAATAAACACTGAACAGGCAGGAGATGTTTTTATTTATATTACTGGCACAAGCAGCTCTCTAATCAGAAGGTCATCCTTCTGAATTGACCTGCAGTTCAATTTAGTGAACAGAGTACACCTACTTCCTTTTTGAAAATACACAGATACTTTGAAGATAACTGCACTGAAGACATACTGAGATGTTTGCCAGCAGCAGTGTTGTAACTGTAACACTGTGAATGAGGCAATGTTCAGCTTTGTAGGTCAGCAATCAAGGTTACAGAATTATCTGCTTTCAAAGGTCAAAGTTAGCCCATTTATCAAGAACCTTTACTAGTCAGGAGGCTGGAGGTGCTGGGTTGACAGAATTAGTTAGATCTCACAGATAAGGCAAGGAGCCAAGTTGCATCATTGTATCAGAATACAGATATTCAATTTTTAAAGCATGGCAAATGGAACCTAAAAGACAGGACTATATAAGGTGTACATATACTCAGCTAACAAGGGTAATACTGTAGAAGTGACAGTGAAGTGAGCTTTCAAATGGAAAAAAAAAAGAAGGGGGGCAGTAGGAGTTGGAGATTCCAAATTCTAGTTCTAAAGTTTCGGTCAGGGGTCAGCGTTGTCGTACAGTGGGCAAAAGTAGCTCCTACGACACCAGCATTTCATGTTGGCACCAGTTTACATCCCAATTGCTCCACTTCAGATCCAACTCCTGGGAAAGCAACGGAGGATGACTCAAGTGCTTGGGCCCCTGCATCCGCACGGGAGCCCCAGAAGAAGCTTCGGGCTTCTGGCTCCTGCTTGGCTACTGCAGCCATCTAGGAAGTGATGCAGGGAAGGGATTAAAGATCACTCTTTCTCCCTCCTTTTCTCTCTGTAAGAGGACTGTCAAAGAAACGAATGAATCTTATTAAAACACACACACACACACACACACACACACACACACACACAAATGGATAAAGCTCTGGTTAACAAGTCAAGCTGGGCCTCAGACAATAGTTAGCACCAAGGATCAGTCATGTAAGTGAGTCACATTTCAAAATCTAGAGCCAAAAATGACTGCCATCTTAACAAACATCACATGGAGCACTTCCCAGCCTAGTGCAGTCAATATATTGAATGATAAAAAGAACAGTTTTTGTGGTTTGACAACCTTCAGTTAGGGGATAATTTGTTAAAGGAGCCATGAGGGCGTACGCCAAGGTAGGTGTGAACCTCACTCCCAGGTCTGACTTCATTACTGCTCATGTAAGCCCCACCTTCAAGTATGAGCAATAGTGTGCATGCACAGTGATGGGAGCAACTGCTAGGGCGATCACTGCAGAGGAGTTACTACAGTGTGTGATCAACACTCAGAACCTTTAATAAACGCACTAGCACTTGTCCTATTTTTTTTTTTACTTGTCCTATTTTTTTTAACCTCATTACATTTCCAGATCTAATTTAAAATGTGCTTTTAATGAAAAACAGAGTAACTCAATCACTTGATAAGCAGTAACAGGTAAACAGACTTCTGCAAATGTATTTTCCCACTGTTCTGAGAAGCTCAGATGGGGCCTATTAAAATCATTAAATAAACAAACAAAAAAAATACGTACATTAAAATCCCTGTTCACATGGTGGTCACCTGTTCTGCTTCTATTGTAACTATATTAAAATGTTAGGAGCAGATGACATAAAGATTTTGCTCAAATGTTTTATAGAGTTTTTCCCATTGGCTACATGTTAAAGTATATGACAAAGAGAAGTAAAATTAGCATCACTAGAAAGAGAAGATGTAAATACTTGTTAAGTGCATGAATGCAGAGTAGAGTACTAGAACCTACAATCTGATAACCAACCAATACAAGAGGGAAGGCAAGACATCCTCTTACAGCTGAGCATGTGAAACACTTGTAATCTCTGAACAGCTATCTCTGGCATCTGCCTAGATCTAAAAGGTTTCTGGGCATAACAGCAATTTGACAAATTATTCTGGTTGCATTTTTTTGTGATAGGCAACATTATTTATATTTTAGTTACCCAATTATTAACCAGCTAAACAAAGGCACAAGCTATGCCTTGGAAACTGTGAAACTGGAAAGATATTACAGATAAAATCACTATCACCTCCATATTACTAAGTTTCAACCAAGATTCAAACACCTTCTTAACACTGAAAGAACAAAGATGAGGCAGAGCAATTTTTTCAAACTCAACCAACTCTAAAACTCCCCAAGAACTCTAAAAGATACCATCCCAAGGGAATAGTGAGCATGAACAGAAACTGCATTTGCTACATAGCATATTATATAATCTTTGTTAACTAGTTTAAATGTCTATTTTTGTCTGTCCCATTGGAGCACCAAGCTTTTTTCTTGAAATTAAATTCCATAATAATTTTTCTGAAACTGGAACATATTTCTGATTTTAAACCATATCATAAATGCCATTTTTCCTATTAAGAAAATAATGCCTCTCCTAATCTCAGCCCTCATTATGTACTCACCCCAGCCACAAAACACATTCTCGGCACCACTCCCCACCCCAATGGTACTTGCTTCCCACTTAATCCTCTGTATATCAAAGCAAGAATTCACAGGCTGACCAGCGAAAATCAGAAATAAGTCCTGCATGACAAAGCTTGTAACTCTTTCAAGCCAGGAATAACCAGAAAAAGCAAATGGTGCCCATATATCATATGCAAAGGAAAGGAAGCCTCAAATAAAATAGCTAGTTCACACACACTCAGCTGGGAGGCAGCAGACTCTTCACGTTTACCCTATGTTTACCTACATTTTGTACAATACCAACACTGAGCAAACACTCTGGCCGATGTATCGATTTCTCTCTCCTACCAAAGACCCAAATAATTAAAATCAAAACAAATGTGAATGCTATGTGCCAACCATAACGAAAGCATTTTGCACACATTATTTCTCAGATCAACCCTGGGATTAAGCGGGTATATGTGCACAAATCAAGTGCTCACTAGAAATTACCTATTTTATTATATTATCCCCACTTCACAAAGGAAAAAAACAAAACTTAAAGTCCCAGAACTGAGTTTGAACCCAGTGACCTGATTACAGAAGTAGGTCTTAAAGCCTAAGCTATTTTGTCTCACCTGCTGTTCTCTTCACCAAAAGAGAAAGAAAAGAACCCAGTGGCCTTTCTACAGCAAGAAATGAATGTAACTTCTCGAAGCTGCAAGCATTCCAGGCTGTCACATGTGGTGCTAAAAGTCTTAGAAAGCTACAGATAACCTTCAACCTAAACTGCCTCAAGTTTCCAAAACCTATCACAGCTACCAGGAAAAATTCTGCATAAATCTCACACATCTTTCTGTCGTAAATAAAAACACTTTTGTTTCAGATAATGTTCCCAAGTATGTTTGCATAATGAAGAAATCCTGGAAAATGAATATAGTATCTCTTCCAAACACAGGAAAGTAAGTGCAGTAAACACAGGTCTTCCTCCAGGAGAAAAGTCATCCAGACTTACTGCCCTTTTCAGAAATCTGGCTCCCCTAAACCCGAGGTTACTCAGGTACGAAACAAACTTTGAGCAGTATTACCACATCAACCCAAAAGCACTTGGGGTGGGGATAAGAACAAGAAAAGAAGCCGTAACGCTCACAGTGCTTGAAGTGCAACAGATAATAAGGGCCTTGTCTTCTGACAGCATCCATGGACTTGTAGCCAGGTACCTTCTAAAGTCAGACTCTTGACAGACCTTGACATCAAGCTGTCTACACATCTTTTCTCCCCTCAGAAACACTCTCTCCCACTCTATAGGGAACACTTAGTTTTATTTAATGTCATCACAGGCTGTATGGAAATTCTCCTCAAAGCCCTAAAAATTGATAAGTAACCCATAGTGCTCCCCTTGCTTCCTGCAAATACTTTCTATCATGGGACGCTCACAACTTTATTCCACTTGCTTATTCATGTGTGCTAGGCCACCTATCAATTAACTACTACACAGTGGTATATTACTTGGTCATAAAAAAGAAATAACGTATTTATTTATGCTACACCACAGGTGAGCCTTGAAAATACGGTGTGGATGAATGAACTCAGTCATAAAATATCACATATCACACAATTCCATTTATATAAATGCATGAATCAATTGAGACAGAATGTAGATTTATAGCTCCTTATTGCTGGAGGGAAAAGAAAGAAAGGTAACAGCTAAAGGGGACAGGGCTTGTTTTATAAAGCTATGCACAAATACTCTAAGCCTGACTGTGAGGATGGCTGCTCATATATGTTAATACTTCAATTACTAAATTGTGAACTCTATGATATCTGATACACATCCATAAGTTATTTTTATAAGTTTCAGTTAATTGGGAAGAAGTAAAAGGAAAGCAAGGTTAAAATAAGTAAAATCCTGTTACATGGAATATAAAGCAATAAATACTAAATAACCTCTCTTCTAAAATAAATTTCAATCAAGCGAAACTGTTTCCCATTTGCTAAATGCACCAAACTTACTAGTGATTAGCATTGCTGGAGGACACGCTGACGTGCAAAGCACCTGCGAAGGTGTGTGCACG